AAACTGTATGAAATAATATATTCACATGCACAAAATAAACAGATGTAGCAAAAACCATAAAAATTAATATAAGGTTAGCAAATGTCTGTAAAGCTCATCCTTACCAACTCTGTTTCTGGCATAATCACTAAGAATACAAATGATGACTATAGATTATATGTATTGTTCCTACAACAGAATCCTCTAGCAAGTGCCAGAAAACACTTGACTAAAAGAATGGAGATGTGTTTGAAAATGAATGAAAATGGAGATAGGACAAACTAATGATCAAGATGGCCTACTAAGAGTGAAGTAGTAGATTCCATTCACAGGAGAAAAGCATGCACTTGAATCTGCAGCTTTCCTAACATGGGCTCTAAAAATTCCTGAAAAGACCTCCAACAGAATGGGAATGGGAGATTCCTATCACACTAATACCCCCTCCTCATGAAATCCACAGAATGAACTCAGACCTCTTAAAGGATAAGGAGTGAGCAAAACAAACACAATGTCCTCCAGCCTCTGACCGCCTAAGAACCATTTACACAAAGCAGTGCATTTATGAAACTGGGTCATCAGGGTTCCTTATTTCTCTATAATCAGTACCTTATTATTTTTTTTTCAAAACTTGTTTTCTTAATTTTTTAATGCTTTTTAAAAAAATGTTCTTGTTGAATACTGACAGTGAATTTTTAACTCAGTAAGCTTTCTCTACAACACCAGTGAATCTGGAGTGGCCACCAGGTGATAATAGCAGTTCAACTGGCCCACAGTCTCTTCAAGCTCGTAAAAACATAAGTATCTCTACCACACACTGGATCATATGATGTTCTTTTCATTCTCACAATCTGTCTATATTAATCATTTTATTTTTCTCAGCTATGTATTTTCATGGTAGGGTAGGAGGATCCAAAACAAGACTACCAAATAAACCTCACAGTAACACTGGCTTCAAGGACAGGCAAAGTAGATAACTTTTTAAAATTACCTGTCTTAAGCTAGTTGGTCTGATAGACAGTTAACACAGCCCCTAAAATGCCCGTGATACTGCCTGTATTAAAAAACAAATTACCTAGACTCTAAGTTTATATCCTCCTTTACAAATTGATCAATCTAAGACAAAAAAAATTAACCTCTCTCTGTCCCTTTAAGACGGAAATAATAACAATAGTCACCCAATGTACAGTGTTATTTTGAAAACTGAATGCAAAATGAGTGTAACGGGCTTAGAACAGTGCTTACCACATGAACTGACTCTATCACAGTAGCAGTTACAGTCATCATCCCCACGATTGGAAAACCCAAGATCTTGGCTTTTATGAGAGAAGAGTTTAACACCAAGCACAACACAGTTTTGTAAGTCACTTCGCCAGTATTACTTCAAAAAACACCAGTCTGGGGTATTATAACAATGGAGGAGGTATATTAGTGATGCAAAATGGGATAACACAGTTCCAAATTATCTACATCATGCAGAATCACCTCTAAGTCCCCAAAATGAAATTCAGGTCCACTTGTTTTCTAAACAAGCAATAATCAGGGCTAGGTGGTAGCTGTGTCTGTTGCTATAGTGGCCTGGAGAGGAAAAAGCAGTTATCATGAGCAAGGAACATTCAATGGTTCTCTTCTATCTTCCCCTTGGGTGTTTCACCTTGAGCCTAAGGTTCAAGAAGGACACTGTGGCATGCAGTTATCTGTACTTGCCATCAAGACAATGTTTCAGGGACACTGTGGGCCTTGGGTGCTTCTAAAAGCAGTGCGGTGAACTGAGTCTAGATAAGAAACTACCACAGACTGGCCAGAAAAAATAAAATTGTTCCTGATCTCCCTGAAGAAATCCACAATGTTAAATTTTTCTCCAAAGTGCTTCCAACTGTTCAAATTTTATGAACAAAAAAAAATCATATTGTACAAACAACAAAAATCAAAACATCTATGTTTCTGTATGTCCAACATGCCTTTCTCTTTCATTTGTATCATTAGTTATAACCCAAAGACCCAGTTATACATGGCAATAAAATATAACAATTAGGATCAAAGTAGCAGCTGTATACATGGACCACACCCAAGACTGTGGTGAGCTGCATTACCTCAATTAATGATGGGACCCATATTTACAGACACTTGAACTTGCACTATAATCTTTGTTCCTGTTTTGACATGCACATCACCTAAGAGCTTGGCTGCTTTCACCACAGCCTTGTTCTCAGCTGTCTGTCACACAAAAACACAATTTAGGATCTCACTGATCTCTTATTTTCTAGGGAAACTACCCCCAAAGCAAAAACTGGCATATGCTTATACTTTTGTGTCCTTATGAAAACAAGATGCAGCAAACACTGCTCTTTTTGAATTATGTGCTTTGTGTGGTTTCTAAAGGAGACCATTAAGCACATTAGGATATTCATGAGTGCGGCTACGAGCAGCTAGGACATGTGCAGGTAGAGCATTCTGATAAAGCAATAGCAGAAGATCCGGTTTAGATAATTACAACTTTTCTTTTCAGAACCACCCAAAATGTTTGTCATCGCCTAAATATTTGCTATGGTCTCTATCTGATAGTCACATTAAGAAAACGATGTCAGTTTCTGAAATCTGACAAAAATCTTTACCAATGGTTTGAGAAACAATGACTCAGAGACCCTAACAAGTCATCTAGACACCCTTTATACAGCATGAACATCAAAATCACAATATATCTTTTTTACTTTTCATAATGAGAAAAAATAAGTTGGTCTATAGCAAACTATCAAAATTTTCTAGTAGCACAATCGATAACCTCATTCTGTAATAGGATATGTTTAATTTACCAAAGACAGGCAGACAAATCTACTAAAAATATCACTGTTATAAAGTTGGAATGTTCTAGACAAAGAAAAATTATACTATTTGCAGAGTTTTTATTTAAAGTTTTATTTTTTTAAATCTACTTATTCATTAATTTTTTTACTATCCCTCAGGAAGTGACATACTATTTCACAGAAAAAAAATGGACTAGAGAACTGATGTTTTCCTATCTCACCTACAACAAAACTAAAGCAGCAGTCATGCCTGAAAGTCGTTTTGTTTGTTTTGTTTTTATTCCACACATTAGTATAATAATCCCAGTTGCACTTGAAATATATGAAGGGACAATATGAAAAATAAAAGCATGGCATCGCTTGTTGAAATACAAGAAAAGGCAGAAAGGCCCACTGGCTCCTGGCACCTCCATGCTCAGACACTGCAGGACAGAGTTTAAATAGCTGAGTACTCTCACACAGAGAAAGGAAAATGGAAGTTCGGAAAGAACAGGTGATAGATGATTTTGAGGTCCTTCCTACTGCATTTGAATCTTGTCTTTATTATGCCTCCACTCTCTCATTTAAAAAGTAGTATAATTGATTGCACTTGAATCCTTGGGACCTGTGTATGTCTATAAAGTCATCGCGTAGATTTCAATGGTAATGTTTATCACCTCTACTAATTAACATGACGTAAATTTTTAAGCTTCCTCCTCAAATATAATTCATTTTCTTAAGCTGTTGATTTTTTGTGTGTGTATATCACACAGAACGTCCCAAACCATCTTATTCGTCTATATACCCACTTCCCAGATGGTACCTTATGACTAGTAATAATCAGATAAATACAGATTAGAGATGCATGTGCCAACATCTCAGTGTTAGTAGCGAAAACAATGAGTCTTTCTGTAAGAAACAGTGTATTTTAAAATGAATGGAGATCTTTTTTAAAGGTTAAAAACCTATTCAATTTTATGTCTTACAGGGCTTACACTGAGTTCAGTATTCTATAACTGTATTAATTCAAAGCAAACCTAAACATTTTATAGCCACTTTTGAAAGGGATTTATCTTTGCTCTGGAAACTGTTACTGAGTATGTTAAAGCTATAATGAAATGCTTCTTCTAAAAATAATAAAAAATAAAATAAAATAAAGAGCAGTATAATATTTTTTTCTCATCTACCCTACCATACAAAGAGACAAGTGAATATCAAGAAAATAAAAGCATAAGATTTATTTGGAGCTCAACAAGATCTAGATCTTAATACCATCTTAAAACCAATCCCCATTAATATTTTTAGGCTCCTTCTGTAAAAGATGTTAATTATCAGAGAATTAAATTAGGCATTACAAAGTTTAAATTAAAAAAATTTTAAAGGGTTTGGAAGATGAATCAGTGGGTAACAGTACTTGGTCTGCAAACATGAGGACATGAGTTCAAATCACCAGCATGCACATAAAAATCAGGGGCATGGACAGGTGGGCCTGGAACTTTCAGAATTGAAGAGCTAAGGTAAAGATATCCTGTGAGTTCAATGGCTGGCCGGCATAGCTGACAACAAGCTTCCAGGTCCCTGTGAGACCCTGTCTCAAGGCAGTAACATGAAGAGTGATAAGAGGAAAATATCCAGTGTCATGCTCTGGCCTCTGCATGTACAGGCACAGGATTGCACATCCCTACACTCACACACTTGCACTATAAAATATACCATACACACACACACACACACACACACACACACACATACACTCACACACACACACAATTACTCATGACATGTAAATTATCTTAAACTAAACAATTTTGCAATCTTGTTTTGTTTTGTTTTTAGTTTTTTGAGACAGGGGTTCACTATGTAACACTGGCTAGCCTGGAACTTGCTATGTAAACCAGGCTGGCCTTGAATTCACAGAAATCTGCCTGCTTCTGCCTCCCCAGTCCTGGGATTAAAGAGGTATGCCATCACGCCCAGCAATTTTGTAGTCTTTTGATAAAAGACTACTTTTGATCCAGGGCTTACAGAGGTATAAGAAAACGAATAACACAAAGAAAATGAATTAATTCATTTAATAGACAAAACTGTGAAAACTGTATAAAGACAAGAGGAAGATTATAAATCTGATAATATGAGGGAGGATGACTGTTTCATGACTCTCAGGACAAAGGGACTGGCAAAGACACTGTGTGGAGAGAGCACTGGATGAACAGAAGTACATTAGAAGTATAGAAAGTAGTACTTTGTGTGTATGTTTCCTCAATTGATGGACAAAGGCATGAGAAACAAATAGAAAAATAAACCCTCTTTTGCAACCCACAATTCATTGTTCAGTAAGAGTTTTAATATAAACAAGAAGGAATATGACAAGGCAGCACAAAGTGATGGTGTTGAGAGAAAAAAATGGGTAGGAATGAGGTTAGCTGGGCAACTGCCCTGAGCAGGGCATGAGACTCTCAAGAGACTAAATGCCTGGGACAATGTGAGGAACCTTATCACACAAGATGAATAACTGAATATTTGCCTGACCAAAGGCGCTTCTATACTGATCTCAAAATTTTGAACTCAGACTTTGCATGTAAGAAAGAAAATAATTGGGGCTGGAGAGATGGCTCAGCGGTTAAGAACACTGGCTGTGCTTGCAGAAGACCTGGGTTTGAATCCCAGCACCCACATGGCAGCTAACAACTGTCCGTAATTCCAGTTCCAGGGGATCCAACAGCCTCTTCTGTCCTCCGCAGGCATTGCACGACATGGGTGCACTTACCTACATGTAGGCAAAACACGTATACACACTAAATAAAAATAATAAATAATATATTTAAAAAAGAAAATAATTGGAGAACCAAGATGGCAGCACAGCGGGAGCAATGGTGGTGACAGTGACTCTTGGTACAAGGACTTAAAACATAACTCCGGGTCTCCTCCTTTTATTAAGAATCTTGATGCTTCTATTCTGATCTCAAAATTCTGAATGACTCAGGACTTAACAAGTAAGAGAGAAAATAAATGGGAAGCCAAAATACCAGGGCCATACTGCCTGACCGCCCATGCAGAGTAGTGGGGTGAACCTTGCTGGACGCCAAGGCACACCCATGGAGCCATGGTAGCATGGCTGCCCACCGAACCCCGGTAGTACCCATGGTCAGCCAACCATAATTATCACCCAGTGCTTGTTAAGGCTTGGCTGCAGTCCTCAACAACATTAGGAATCCAAGAAGTCTACATATTTCAGAAAATAAACTAAAGGACACTGGTGTAAAGCTATGATGTGAAGCTGTGAAACTTCCTAACTGCCACTCAGAGAATCTTGGATTGGAGGCCTGTGAGCTAATTTCTGTGAGGATCTAGCTTCTACTTTTACCCATAGTAAAACCTTGTGGGATAAATAAACCTGTTGGTCCACAGCAGGGTCATTGTGCTGAATGAGGCCCAGAAACAGCCAAAGAGCAACCTGCATGCAAGGGCTGAGAACAACTAACTTTGATGAGGAAAACCAAGTGTTTCTGACAGCTGAGAAAAAGAGAAATCCCTACTTGACATCCCTAAGCACTGTGTAAGAGAAACAGAAATTAGGAGTGAAAACCCCTTTCCAAGAAACTTAGGCATGCTCTGACCCAAAACCATGTACAAAGGAAAGGCAGTGGGTCCTTACTTTGGCACACCTCTGTGTAAGAATTATAGATCACTGGCACTTTAATGATTCCTCTGGCACCCAGCTCAGAGGTGTTATGTAAGATGGATGGGGTTTTTCATTTGCTAATAGAAAACATGAAGTGGGGATGGTGAGGGTGGAGATGTGGGAGGCAATCTGAAAAAAATCAAAATTCACTATATGAAATTCTTGATTCAATAAAATTTCTCTTAAACTAAAGAAAAAAGAATGTAAAAAAAGATATTACTTTTTAAAGTATTTTCAAAAGTATTTTCATGCCATCTATAAGCTTTCTGAATTTATTGAGCCTCCAAAGCCATGCATATATATGCTGTGTGGAAAGCTGACTTTCTCAGTACATGTAAGAACCAGACTATAAACATGCAGCTCTAACACAGGATATGGGGATCTGTAACCTAGGCCATGGCACAGAATGCTAAGGTAGTCCACAAAACTGACATAGCTCACACTGTTGTAGTGTCTGCAATAACACAAGTCTTCTTTGTGGACCCCATACATAGATATGCTGAATTCCCTAATTATACATAGTAATGAGTAGTAAAACTGCCATGAGAATGAGAAAATAGATGTAGACTTTACACAAAACACCACTAAATAATCATTCCAAAATCATATACTGAGAAGATGCGAAAAGAAATGGAGCTCAAGATTTTTTTAATCGGGTGCTTGGGGCTGAACTCAAGGCTAAACATACTAGGCGGGCACTCTACCAGCTACAACACCAGAGCAGGTCAAGTCATCATCTACTGAAAGAGGAAGTCAGAAAACAACTAAAACTTATTAAGAGTTAGCTGAAGTTTATTACTTGTAAATATTAAACACCAAATTGCTTGTGATGAGAGACCAGATAAAACATGGAGCAAAAGTATGGACTGTTAGGTGTTTTTTTACTTACCCTTTTAACATTGATCTCTTCCATCATTAGCATGAAGTCAGTTTTTAAGAAGTGCATTTGGTGATTCAAAATACAAAATAAGGGAGTAATACGCAGAAACACCAGAATACAAGTATTCAGAAATAGATGACAAACAATTTGACAGCACATATAAAAAGCGGACTTTCTAAAACAAAGGAAACTCATCAAAAACACATACATCAATCAGTATATCACCTTCACTACATTTCTAGCTGTCTGTAATGGTGTGAATGAAAATGTCCCCCATAGGCTCCAGTATTTGGGCATTTTGTCCTCAGTTGGTGGTGCTGTTTTGGGAGGTCTTAAAGGGGTGGCCATGCTGGAGGAAGCACATCAGTGGGGGCAGACTTAGAGAATTTTTAAGCCTTGCTATTTCTGAGCAAAACTTAAGAAAATATTTTCCTTCACCATGATTCAATCTCATATATTCTTTTCTTATGAAAAATTTCACACTCTGCCTAAATGTTGATATGAAATTATACATAAGAATATATTTTTACCTAGAAAAGATTGCTAATTTAAAGTATTTTTACCTCAATTTTCATTCAACTGGTCAATAAGTGCCCACAGACATTAAGAACAATACTGTCTCCAGAACTTTTAAGTTTAAGTAGGTAATATTTACAGAATTAGAATTTTTCTGGGTAAGGTGGAGCATGCCTGTAACCCCAAAACTTGAGAGGTTGAGATAGGAAGATGGTTTAAGATCAGCCATGGCTTTTGAGACTCAAAAGCACAAAAACAAAACAATTATGAGATAGAATTCAAGCTTCATTTTTATCTTGAAGACTCTAAGTTTCAGATATAATCTATTTCATCACACAGCTTTTAAACAATACCTTCATTTCCCCTATATTTTTCAACATGAATGTTGACCGCCTCTTTTTAACAAATCTCTCAGTCACTCAGCATGGCAACTTGTAGATGGTTTAAAATTATACCTGAGTACATATTACACTGTCAAGAAACAGCATCCCTAGATGCAATGTATGACTTACTCCAGTTTAAACTCCTCAGACTGAAAATAGTGAAATGTAGTAATACATAAAACAGCCATCAAAATGTCTGCTTTACAACTTCAGTAATAAAACTGTGTGTATATATCCGCAGGTCATCTCAGCTGCAAAAACACTCCTATTAAGCATTAGGTAGCAACTAAGAACAGTGATTAATTTTCAAAATCTCTATGCAAAGTCAAAAAATCTACCTTCAGATCTACAAACTTCATGCAATCTCTTTGCCTATTTAACATTTAAATAATCATTAGTTTATACAGGGGAAAAAAAAAAAAAAAACAAGTCCACCAACCCTTCTGTAGAGAATAAGCTTCTTCCACTCCTCCATTTCTTTCTGATAGAATAAGGGGCTCAGCAGCACAAGACTTTTCTCTCTGAGCTGACTCTGGCCCTCAGGGCTTCTTCCTTTATAATTCATACACTGGGCAAGTGGCTGGCTACTGACCATTATGTTGTCCTGACTTAAAGGCTCTTTTCATGCATATTTTAACGTCACCTATATATCAAAACTATGCTACACATACTATTAACAGGTGAATAAGAAGTGAATGTTTCAAGATTCTTAGCAGTTCCGGAGATGACACATAGGCTGGAGACACAGATGAAAGACTGCAGAATCAGTATCTGTGGGGATGAAAAGTATAATCCATTTCAAACTTTGTAAACTCAGTCAAGTTTCAGAGTCCTGTTTAGGAAGAGACTAAAGGTTGCCTTATGATTTACTGCACATTTCTAAATTCAGTAAGGTTTAGCTTTGCCACAGTAATTTATGGGAGTACTGTGGGTTGAGACTTTGCAAACAGTACATCTAGAAGTCTTCAGGCCATGGACTTTCCTGTCTGTAGTATTTGGCAGCCTCACTGGCATAAACAGGTCTACAATAACCTTACTGAAAGAATGCCGAAAATGGAATACCTTCATTGAAAAACAACAAAACTGCTTACATTTGCCTAAGCTATAGCAAACTCTGACACTGGAATGATCTTTTCTAGATGACATGTGGCTACTTACCACAAATTTCATATTGTCCTTTAACACTTTCTAAACTGCTCCTGAGGCTTTGTTCTTTCATCTGAGGTTTAAATTGGAATGTTAAATTCAGGCTTTTATTCTCTTCTGTTAATAACTTCCTGTCTTTTTAGTTCTCCCTACACTATTTTATTTTATTTTAACAAAGACCTTGGTCTCTGTCCAGGTAGTACATTTCCAAGAAAAGCTAACACACTATTTTCATGAATTTCTTTCTAGCTTGTCCAAAGCAGATGCCAAGATATTATGATGCAAGAAATACTAAAACATAATTAAACATAAATACCATAACTACTATTGTTTGCAGCACAGGTACAGAGAATTTCTGGTGGACACAGTACAGTGTCACCTTAGTTTTTAGAATTCAAAATGTTTAGAGTTCCAAAAGAAGACATTTATGAAACTCCAAGTTATCACAGCTTGTCAAAGTCTGAGCTCTTTGACAGCTACTTTGCACTGTTCTGGCTAAGCTATGATGCCGCTGAGACAGCATACCAGGTATTCTGAGATGCGCTGGTGAGCTGGGGGAGAGCTGCATTGTCTTCTTGCACCTCAGTGTGTGGCAGCAGCTACAGCTTGTCAGCACAACAGCAAATGGTGGTGCCAAGTCTCTCAGACTTTTCATCTCTGATTCACTTAGTTTTTATATACTTGGAAAGCCTATTTCTTTTTAAACGTATGCATCATGGTGTTTTTTGAAGATGCTTTTTACAACTGGAAGCAAAGTTC